CGAACTCACGGACCGCGAGATCGTGACCTGGCTGAAGTCGGACGCTTAACCGACTGCGCCACCCAGGCGCCCCTAGAGCATTCTAAGTGTGCTTTTTGAAAGGAGCTACCGTTGTGGTTTTCCTATTTGTCGGTTACATGGAATTACTTTAGTTTGTGTACTATATACATTTTGGCCATAGCAGCATCCAGACGGAGTGTCACCCACAGCTGTGACAGTGTGGATGTGCCCACAGGTCAGTTCTGGAGAGCACGAACAAGTGGCACCGTGCCTGCCGGCTGAGAGTGTCCCGTACTCCCCGGGCACCACTGCCGTGGTTTACAGTGGTGTTCATCGCGAGGGGGGCCAGACTTTCTCTCGCGGGACCTGAGGCGGAAGGGGAGGAGAGAAGGGCACGCGTTTGATGTCTGATGGGGGTTTCTGCGAGGTGGGTTTTCCAGGGGATGGACAGCAGCTGGTGCCACGCCGGTCGCCAGGCCAGAGGGCGCGCAGATGTCCTCTACAGTGTGAGGCTCGGGCAGGAAAATAGTGGAACCGCCCGGGTCACGATGAGGTCTCGCCATGCACAGCTGTGACCCTAGCAGCTTCCTGGGGACCCTCACCTACCCAGGCTCTGTGTGTTCTGGGCACACTGGCCCTTGTGTGTGTGCCGGGTGGGGAGCGGCTGGTCAGTTGGAGGCTTCACTGTCTCCTTGAAACTCTGTTCCCAGGGCCACCACCGTGCGCTACAAAGGGAGAAACCTGCGGATCAAAGCGCCCATGTGCCGAGCTCTGAAGAAGCTGTGTGACCCGGACGGTACGTGAACATGGACTTGGGGCAGGGGCTCGCGCGGGCTCTCGATGGACGGTTCGGAGTCTCGCGCTGGTTCAGAGTCTACTAAATGTGGTCCTGCTGGTTGGCGGCACCTGCAGTTGAAACCCCTGGTCACGGCAGCGCATCCGCATAGGAGATCAGGGTGCCCTCAGAGGCCCTGGCTCGTTCAGACCAAGTGGCAGCCGGCGTCGCAGGTGACTCTCTCCTGGCCCGTCGCAGCCTGGTCCGTGGCTCAGGCTCCCAGATGCACAAGCGGCCACATCGCAGTTCTCCTTCAGAACGTGGAGCCTCGCAGGCTCCCCTGCCAGTCTCCCTCTCGAGACTCTTGAGGCCGTCTGCCCGGAGCACCTTTTCACATTTTGCACTGGCGTCCGTGTGCCCGGCTCTCACGGCCCCTTCTTGTCATAGGCTTGAGTGACGACGAGGACCAGAAGCCGGTGCGCCTGCCCCTGAAAGTCCCTGTGGAGCTGCAGCCGAGGAACAACCACGCCTGGGCCCGCGTGCAGAGCCTGGCTCAGAACCCGAGGCTCAGGTAACGTGGCTTTTGGCATCCGTGGGGAGCAGTGGAGCTCCCCCAGTGCTCTGAACCGGCCTTCACGCTCTCTGACCCTGCGTGCGCTCACTGTGGCCCTCAGACCCGGAGTCCCACCTGGGCAGGTGCTCGTGGGCCGAGCACAGGGTGCATGATGTGGTTCCCAGGTTGATGGCTCCAGAATCTTTCCCTTGTGTTTACCCTCAAAACCCCTTTCCGCTCCTCTCTCGTCATCTTCCTGGATGTGTAGGTCTGATTCGTGTACGGGGCCCCGTGTTGGGTGTGCACCGTCTTCCGTTTATACCTCCTCTTTTTTGGTTGAGTCAGATTCTATAACGTAGAATTAACCGTTAGTCACTTCAAGGCATCTGATTCGGGGGCCTTGAGGACCTTCGTACAGCGTTGTATGAGTATCTCCTCCGTCTGGCTCCAGAACATTTCGGTTCCCTGAAAGGAAACGTTTCACTAAATTGCG